CCCCCGAGGCGTATTCCTCCCCACGTCAGGTTTCCTCTGGCCCCGATCTCAGGAACTCTGACCCACAGGAGCACCCCCACGGCCCATCTGAGGGAAGAGGAAGTGGGGCTGAGGTCAAGGTCGTGGGGTCCCAAGAGCAGCTGCCCGGCCTTGTGTACAGAGTCCGGGCAGCCCAGCGCCCTCCTCCCCGCCCACAATGGCCAGGCGGGTGCGGGTGCTCCTGACACGGCCTGACACCCCAGCCGTGGCCGGGGGAGGGGGGGCTTCTGCAGCTGGCAGGCTCGGGGCCCGGGAGGGAGGGGCGTGGGCAGCGACCAGGGAAGGCCTGAGAGGCAAAAGACGCCTGGGCCCCCCTCACCCACTCCCTGCAGGCCCTCCCTGTGGCCTGAGGGTCGCTGGGGGGGGGGGGGGCTGCACCATGACACCCACAGTGGATGTGGTGAGGGGCCACCCCGGGGGAGCACATGCATGCGTGCACGCGCACACACACACACACACACACACACACACACAAAATGGAGCACATATGCACCCCAAAGCACACACATGCACGTGCGCGCGCGCACACACACACGCATGCACGCACACATGCAACCCCAGACAAAGCACAAAGTCACAGCAGAGCCTGGGGCAGGGAGCACAGGTCAGGGCCCACTGCAGCAAGGGCAGGGCTGCCTGGCGCTCACAACAGTGTGGCCAGTTGGCAGCAGAGGCTGGTGTGGCCAGGACGGGCAGGCCAGCAGAGGTGGGCAGCCCAGGCTCCCCCAGGGAACCAGCAGCTGGCCCAGGGCCACTGGGGCTGGGGGACCTGCAGCCTCCCAGCCAGGACCCACCATGCCTGCTGGCAGCCAGAGCTTCTCTCCAGAATCCTGCCTCCTGCTACCCACCTCCCCCGCTCTGTCCTGAGGCCTTCCCCAGGGACCCCACAACACACAGCCAAGGCTTCCCCCACAGGGGGAGCCAGAAGTGGGCAAGGTGGCGGCAAAGGCCGGGTATGGCCACATGGCACCGGGCCTAGAGTTCCCAACCTAGAAGAGACAGAACCTGCACAGCCCGCGAGAGGTCCGGGCACCTGACCCGCGCCACGTGGCCGCGGTGCCCGAAGCCGGGAGACCAGCCTGCTGCTGAGGGGGCCCAGCTCACCTTCCCCGCCGGTCTCCCGGGGACACAGCAGGCCAGAGCACTGCCTGCTCCAGCCCACCACCCCATTTCCATCCACCCCACCCTTGAGGGCCCCTAGGCCTCGCCTGCAGGGCTGGGGGAGGGGCACTTCCTGGGGCACCCTCCCTCTGGCCACAGTTCACAGCAAGCCGAGAGGCCTCCGGAGTCATGCCTGCCACTGGCTCTCAGGGGATCGTGGGAGGTCCCCTGGGCAGGGATGGGGAGCCGGGGGCCCCACTCACCCCACACACCGATCCCACACCCGGGTGTGTGAGAGCCTGCAGGGGCTGGCGCAGGAGGCCTCCCCAGGGGCTGAGTGTCCACGGTGCCTTCCGGCCACATCACAGGCTGCCCCCCCCCCCCCCCCAGGCCCAAGGCTGGGGCTGAGGCCGGGAAGGGGGCAGGCCCAACCCTTTCTACTGGCTGCTGCCCCCCCCCCCCCAAAAGACAACTGACAATGTAGAGCTGCCAAGAAACCGGGACTGGGGTGTCCATCAGCCCCACCGTCACTTCTTGGACAGGCTGGCCCTGACCCCCAAAGACAAGCGCCCACTTCCTGCACAGAGGGAAAGGGTGCCCAGGGACAGAAGTCAGGGCGAGACCAGAGTCCAGACAGCGGTCCGACCGGCTCCTCCCTCAAAAGAACCCTGGACAGGCCACTTCCCAGTTTACTCATGCATACACACACCCACACACTCATTCATACACACACACACACACACATTCACTCACATACACACTCACACACACATTCACACATTCACATACACACACATTCACACACACACTCACATACACCCTCACACATACACTCACACACATTCACAATATACTCTCATACATTCAGACACTCTTACACACTCTCACACATTCACGCTATACACTCACACACACACTCTTACACATTCACATCCACGCACACATTCACATATACGCACATCCACACATGCTCTCATATTCACACACATGTGTGTACACACACATTCACATCCACACACTCTCACACATTCACATATACACTCTTACACACTCTCACACATTCACACACATACATACACACTCACAACTCTTACTCTCACACATTCACAAAATACACACATTCACATCCACACATGCTCACATTCACACACATGTGCATACACACACACATCCACACACACACACACACTCACACATTCACACGTTCTCTCTTACAGCCACACACTCACACTCACACACATGCGTGCGCACTGCGGGCTGGGGAAGGGCTCCCGCCGTCTCCCCCAGGAGACTCGCCCTTAGTCACACTGTCCTCCCTCCCGCCTGGCACCACCAGCTGCGTCTGGGACAGCCACAAGCAGTGCCAGCGGGGCAGGCCTGAGGGGTGCCCGGGCACCCGCTCCGCGGGACAGGCGGGCAGGAGGCCCTGCAGGGACACAGCCCCTGTGGCCTGGGGGCCAGACTTGGCCGAGCCCCACTTCCCTCCTGGGACCCCGGCGACTTCGTCCCAGGTGGCGCCTCCCAGCCACCCAGAGGCGGTGGGGGTGGGTCACCCCGGCAAATGGCCAGCGAGCCCCCGTGCCAGCCAGGAGCTGGCCCCACGTCCTCAGCCGTCCTCATCATCATGGCCTGTGGCTCTGTGCCTCCCGGTCCCACGCGGCACACCTCCACGCCTGCACGAGCCCTTCTCCAGGTCTGGCCCAAAGCCGGTTCAGGCGTCCCGTTTGTTCCTAGGTCCCAGCAGGGGGTCAAGGACTGGCCCCAGCCAGCCCCAGCTTCCCAGTGAGTGTGCCACCCGAGGAGGCATCGTGCCCGTTGTTTCCCCCAGGTGGGGCACGGAGCCAGCCTCTGAGGACTCGGGTCTCGGGAGGCCTCGGGGAAGGCAGCCTGGGCGCCGGCGAATGAGAGCGGCCTAACACCTGCTCTACCTGCTCAATCTGGGTCAGGCCGGGCCCCGTTGCCATGGTGCCAAGCACGCAGGGTCTCTGGGGCATCTCCAGGGTCCCCGGGCCGGGTGGGAACACTCCCGGAGCTGGGCCCCAGATCAAAGCAGGTCCTGCCATCCCTGGGCCCGGGCCCCAGCTCCGTAACAGAGGGGCATTGCCAATCTGCAGGGCTGGGCTGTGAGGGGGCTCGGGACCCCTCCAGCCCCCTGGGTCCGGTAGCAAACTGGGGCTCAGAGCCTGCAAAGGGCCCGGCTTTTGTGGGGGAAGGGGACCCACTCAGATTTCATCCAGGATGAGGGCCGGGCAGGCTGTTCGGGGCTCAGTTGGCCCCGGGCCAGGAGGGAAGAAGGAAAGGCAGGGGTGAAATCCAGAGGCTGAGCCCAGAACTTTCCAGACTTTCCCAGATGAGGGAGCAGGCTGGCTGTCCGGGCGAGCCCAGGTGAGAGCCCAGGCTGGGGCTGAAGGCCACATGCCCGCCTTCAGCTCACAGGTCACTCCCTGCTGACCCTGGCGCAAGCCCGGGGCAGAGTGACAGCTACGACACCCCACACTGGAGAGGCAAGGAAAAGCGGGGGGGGGGGGCTCAAAGGCAGAAAAGACGGAGGTCACAAGCACATCCGAGTTTGAAACGGGGCTCTGCTGCCTTGAGACCAGTGGGGGAGCCACTTCCCCAGCCTCAGTCTCCACCCCTCTAAAATGGGGAGAATGCTGCAATACGGGGCACACAGGCCCAGCAACTGCTGCTTCCCGGGCCCAGAGAGGCCAGGTAACGTGCCCAAGGTCACCCTGAGCGTGAAAGGTGGGGGGAGGGCCCCCTCCCTCTGATGCCCCCCATGGCGCGGCCCGCAGAGGGCAGCCCTTGGCTGGATTCCTCAGATAAGCGGCTCCCCGCAGACTGGGGCGCCTGCTGACCTGTACAGCCCAAGAGCCCAGAAGAGATGCCCCACCCACCCACCCAGGCCTGCGGAACTCTGGGTCAGGCTGCGTGGCGCCCTCCCTCCCTCCTCCTCTCCCTCCTCCTCCTCTCCCTCCTCCTCCTCCGGGATTGGAGGGGGAGGGCACAGACACGTCCACCCCGTGGGTCTCCGACACCCCCCCAACACCCCAACAAACTGTCTCCTGCGGGGCTTCCTACCCAACCACAGCCTTCTGAGACTCGGTTTCTCCATCTGTACCTGGCACATCCCCTCACTGGGCCCACCAACAAGTACCCCTGACCCTGCTCCCCCCTGCCCCAGAAGGCTGGAACTTTTGGGCAATTCCCACCGCCCTGCCTTCCCCGGGGATGGACAGTGAGGGGAGCTAGCAGTGGGACCCCCCACCCCCATTCCGTGGCAGGGCCTGCCAGCAAGTCACTGCGGCGGGGTAGCCACCCATTGGACGCCACAACGGTGAGCTACGGAGCAGCTGGACCTGCGGGATGGGGGCGCGTACAAAAATCAAACCTGGCCGGAGCACAGCGAGCCCCTCTCCCACCCCACCCCCAGGGCATCTGCCACGCGCAAGGGCCAGCTCCAGGCGGAAAGGCACCGGGGCACGCAGCGGGGCCGGCGAGCCCAGAAATCCGGCCAGACTGGGCGAGCGCGGGGCGCAAGTGCCAGGGGACCTGGGGCTGGCCGCAGCCTCTGAATCATATGACAGGCCAAGCGGCCAGCTGGGAGCAAGGTGGCCCGCAGCGCGCGCTCGGGTCTCGGCCTCCAGGCCCGGCGTGTCCATCTGCAGAACGGGCTTTCCCGGCAAGCGGGGGCAGCTGCAAGGGACCCCGCTGGCCGCGCTTGCAAACGACGGAGCCCCCCGCCAGCCTGGCGATGCCCACCCGGGGCCCGGGTGCCGCCGAGCCCGGCGCCTGGCCACGCACACGGCCCCGGGGCCCAAGGGCCTCGTCCACGGCCCCCCCCAGCCCCGGCGCCGTACCTGGAGGACAGGCTGACAAAGTCCCCGCCGTCCAGCAGCCGGACCTTGCAGAAGAGCACCCCGTTGACGAAGGGCACGGCCGTGAGCTCCTCCAGGGTGAAAGTGGTCTGGAACTTGAATTTCTTCTTCTTCATCAGGAAAGCCATGAGCGAGGGCCCCGAGTCCGCCGCCGCCGCCGCCGCCGCCGGCCAGGAGAGCGGGGCGGCGGGCAGGGCGGGGGTCGCGCCGGCGGAGATGCCCAGGAGGCCCTTCCCGACCCCGCCGCCCCTCCGCAGCACCCCGGGGCCCAGCCCGGCCAGGGGCGGGCGGTGGGGGCGGCGGCCGGGCGGGGCGGCGGCGGCGGCGTCCGCGGGGCCCGGGTCGGGCCGGCCGCGCTCAGCGTCGGGGGGCGGCGCGGCCGGGGGCTTCACCGGCATGTGAGCGGCGGGGCATGGCCCGGGCGGCGCGGGGCGGCGGGCGGCGGGCGGGCGGGCAGCATCCCGGGCCGGGGGCGGCCCCGCCCGGCCCCCGCCCCCGCCCCCGCCCCGCCGGCGGCCGGGGGCGGCGCCCTCCGCGCACTCGCCCGCGCACCTGGGTGCGGGCGGCGGCGGCCGGCGCAGGTGCGGCCGGAAGGCCTGGGCCGGGGGCGCGGCCCGGACGCGGGGGCCTGCGGGCGGGCCCCGGGCCCAGCCCGGGACTCCGGGGGCCGCCGCGGCCGCCTCCTGGGCGACCCCGGATCGCGCTCCGCGGGCCCCGGCGGCACCGAGGCGGCCCCTCCGGCCCGGCCGGCGGCGCCCGCCCCGCCCGCTGCCTCGGCGGCCCAGCAAGCCCCGCGAGCAGCAGCAGCAGCAGCAGCAGCAGCAGCAGCAGCAGCGCCGCCGCCCGCGCACCCGCCGCCGCCGCCGCCTCGGAGCCCGACGCCGCGCCGCGCCGCTCCGAAAATGCCGAGGCCCCGCGCGGCCGCCCGCCGAGCCGCCGCCGCCGCCGCCGCCGCCGCCGCCGAGCGCCGAGGGGGCGGCGCCGGCCGCTCAGCGCGCCCGCGATTGGCCGGCCCGCGGGGCGGGCGCGCGGCGCGATTGGCGGGCGGCGGCGCGGGGCGGGCCTCGGAGGCCCGAGACGGCTCGAGACGCGCCCGGATTGGTGCGCCGCGGAGCTGGGCCCGCCTCCTCAGGTCGGGGCGGAGCCGAGGGGGCCTGGGGAGAGGGGCCCCGGGAAGCCGGTGGGAGGTCGCGGGGCGGGATAGCCGGCGGCTGGCACGGCCCGGAGGAGGGCGCGCGAACGGGAAAGGAAGAAACAATGAGGAGGAGAAACAGCGGGAGTGCCGAGGCCGCAGTGGCCCGCCGGTGCCCCTCCGCACTTGAGCTCACGGACCGCTCAACTAGGCTTGAGTGAGTCCCATGCCCGGAATGGAAAATCCCAAACCGGTCTTGGATCCGCAGCTCTGCACAGGGCAGAGAGGTGGCTTGAAAAGGGCTTCCCGGAGGAGGCGATTTGGATCCAGTTCTTCATGCATTCTGGTGCTAGGGGCAGCTTCCACCGACCAAGACTGCTCCCTCGGCCTTCCATTGTTTGGTTTCTGGTCCAGTGAAGACTGGCCTCCCAGCCTTAGATTCACTGTCCTAGAGGCCGTTTGGGAGCCTTCTTACCTTCCCTGGCCCTCTGCATTTTATGGTTCATTCATCCAATCCCCCAAATAATCAGTGGGAATCAGTTCTGAGCCGGGTGGGTCAGCCCTCAGGCAGGATGCACATTCTGTGGGAGGCAGGCAGCGCTGGGCGAGACTCCAGTGGCCTGGAGGCCAGCCAGGGAGAGCGCTGCCCATAGAAAGCAGTGAGGACCTGGGGCCTCTGCATTGTGTCCATTTGCGAGAGAGGAACAAGAGACAGGCCGAGTGGCCTCAAAAGCCTGGATCCCGGAGAGTCTTAGAAAGCAGGAAGGAGGAGGAAAGGCGGCACACATTTTAAGCAGGAGAGCTACCGACTTGACTTTCTTCCGCTGCCAGAAACTTGCAGTGGCTGGGCTGGAGAGAGCACCCAGTTAAGGCGCTGACCTTGCAGGCTGCAGACGTGACTGCAGGCTGGAGCCCAACTCACTCCCCCCCACCCCCACCCTCACCCCGGGCACTGCCAGGAGTGATTCCTGAGTGCATGAGCCAGGAGTAACCCTTGTGCATCACCAGGTGTGACCCAAAAAAAAAAAAAAAACAGCAACAACAAAAACTCTTACAGTGGTTGCAGGTAGCGTAAAGAAGAGGAAGTAGGAAAGCAAGGCAAGGGACATTGTGCTCCCGGGAAAAGGACATGGCGTTCGGGACTGGGGGCAGCGGAGATGGGTCTGAGAGACATCAAGAGGCAGATTCAGCTGGACCTGGGATGGGTTAGGTCTGGGCTGAGCACCCGCTTCCTCCTTTCTTTCTGCTTCCGAGCCATAAACTGTGTTGTGATGGAGGGCTGGAGCTAGAATACCAAGGGTAGAGAGCTTATCACGCACCAACTGATCCAGGTTCAATCCTAGGCACCACCAGGAATGATCCCAGAGTGCAGAGCCAGGAGTAAGCCCCAAGCATGGCTGGGCATGTCCCACACCCAAAACAGAACAGAACAACAACAAAAAAAGGGGAGTGACCTGCATTTCTTTCCTGCTCATCCCATAATGGCTGTGTGTGTGTGTGTCTGTGTGTTTTGGTTGGTTTTGGTTTTGGTTTTGGGGCCACACCTGGAAATGATCAGGAATTATTCCTGGCAGTGCTCAGGGGATGATATAGGATGTTGGGAATCAAACCCAAATTAGCCACGTGCAAGGCAAGCTCACCACCCACTGTACTATCTCTCCAGCTACTTGTCCCATAATGTAGAAAACACTTAGCCAGGTTGGAGGAAGAAAGGACATAACAGCTCCTGGTGGGTCCCTCTGATCCCCACACACGGTCAGGCACATGGAGATCTACATAGCAAAGTCAGGCTGCCCGTGCTGTGGCCCTTCTACTGTCAGGCCTGGCCTGTTTTCATGGGGACCCATGGCTTCCTGACCCCACGACGGGGGCTTCCCGGGAAGGAGCCAGCCCAGGACGTCCCCAGGCCTGGCTTTGACCTTGAGTAACCTCAAGTCTCTCCAACAGGAAGTTGGTGGGCCAGGCTGCCAGACTTAGCTGGGGTGGGGTATTTCCCTCTCTCTGCAGCGTCCGTGCTGGGAACCCAGGAAGTTTCCCTTCCTTCATCTCCCAGATGGTGTCTGGGGAAGGGAGAGTGAGTGGTACAAGGTCAGGATGCTCCATCTGGGCTGAGTCCTGACTCTTTCTGTGCCCTGGCACTGTGGCCTTGGCTCAGGGCACCCCAAAGAGAAGGGGATTCAGCATGGCATGGCAAGGTCCACCTGTTGAGGAAACTAACAGAGCTGGGCTCAAAGTCCGGCTGGGACACTTGTCCATCTGTTGTGGCTCACAAACTTGAGGAGGAGTTTTGTAAGCACAGGACAGGCTCTTCAAGTGTTTCATCTGTTTCTTTACCTGTGAAATGAAAGTGAAAAATCAGCCTTGGCCCAGGAAGACACCGACAGGGCTGGGCTTGGTCCCAGGCACTGCCTGGTGACCCCCAGCACTACTAGGAAGCCCTCCTTTCTTCCCCCCCCCCCCTCCATCCCCATCCTAATAGCAATCTCTCTGGATGTTGTGAGCACTTTTTTTTTTTGCTTTTTGGGTCACACCCGGCAATGCACAAAGGTTACTCCTGGCCTTGCACTCAGGAATTACTCCTGGCAGTGCTCGGGGGACCATATGGGATGCTGGGAATCGAACCCAGGTCGGCCGCGTGCAAAGCAAACGCCCTACCCACGGTGCGATCGCTCCAGCCCCTGTGAGCACTTTTTAGAGGCCGGAATTGCCAAAGGCTTAGGTCTCCCAGGAATGGCAGTCAAAGTACTGGGCTCTGCCCTGTGGGAGCTGCAGGGCAGTGCCCAGTACCTCCTCAGCCCACCCCAACCCCTAATTTCCAAGCATAACTTGTACTCTTCCTGGGCAGACATGTAGAAAAGACGGATCCAGCAAGAACTGGAGTCCCCGGGGCAGGAGGAGAAGCCCAGGAGAATGAGACGGAGGAAGATGAGCATGATTAAGGGCTCAGACGAAGATGGTATCAGAAATGTCTGGGCTGTGGGTTCTCAGCCCAGATGCAGTTCATATGAGGAGGAGACGTGCAGGAAGCTCTGGGGGCAGAGATCAGGGCTCGCCTGTCGGGAGGGGGCCCGCCTGTGACTGCAGGGAAATGGGTGAAGGGAGGAAAGCGCAGGGGTGTGTGTGTGGGTGCACTTGGGCTGTAGTTCAGGTTTCTATTTTCAGTTCACAAAAAGCCCCATAGCAGGAGCTAAGCAGCAGGTAGTTTTGATCCTAAATGCCTTTTTTGGGGTTTATTTTTGTTTTTGTGCCACACTCAGCAGCTACTCTTGGTGCTGTTCTCAGGGATCCCTTCTGGCGAGGCTCAGGGGGAACATACGGGGTATTGGGGATCAAATCTGGGTTAGCTGCATGCAAGGCAAGTGTGACCTGCTATACTATTTCTCCAAGCTCTGAAATGCACTTTGAAAAAATCTTTTGGGGCCAGGGAGAGAGCCCAGAGGTTTGTCACCCCAACCAAACCGAAAAACAAAAGCTCTTTGTGTGGCCAGAGAGAAAGCCAGAGGTTAAGGCATATGCCTGGCACTGGCACTGGCACGGGGACAGCCCCACTCCAATCCCAGGCACCACATGGTCCCCCAATGCCCGGGTGCAGCCTGGAGGCCTCCAGAGCACCACTGGGGTGGCCAGCGAGGAAATCCCGGGCTCTTCAGGGCCCACCCAGCACCTGTTTTGAACCATAGACCTGGGAACTAACAGGAGGGTCCGGATCTCATGTGCACCGCTTGGGCGTCCTCAAAACAAACAAACAAACAAACTCCTGGAGGCTGTGGGAGGCTGTGTTGATTGTCAAGGAGCAGGAACAGAGTGGCCCTGCCCTCCCAGCGGTTCTCTAGAGACTGACCAGGAAGGGGCCAGCAGGTGCTGAACAATGATAACAATCCTTCAAGGCCACGGTGAAAACTGGAGAGCGACAGAAGGATGTGGGTCATTGGGGGTGGGGGTCAGGGGCCCCGGGGTCATCCCTGGCAATAGTTGACTGGATAGTTCAATGTTCAGGTCTGGCCACACTGGGGAAGGAG